GGCTTTCAGCGAGAGCGTCCCGACTCGCGGTGAGCATAAATCGCATCCGCGTGGATTTGCATAAATCGCGTCTGTGTGATTGAAAACGCAAATCGCGCCTTTTCTCCTCGCAAATCAAGCGGCGAAGATGCCGGTGCCGTGACACACATCACTTTTGCACAATACGCCGGCGTCAGAATTCGGAAATCGTTTCCCCCGAGTTATCTTTCGATGAATTTAAAATTAACAGGAAAGGAACAGAAAATTATAATATAGTAACATTACTTTCAGAGAATCGGTGTTTATTAAGTACTTTGTATTCCTCTTTCCATTCACAAACACTGTTCCTCTTTAATTCATAAAGTATATATCCGTTGATAGGAATATTAATTCTGTATGAATGTTCCCAGGGAGTTTCCTCAGGAATTCCAATCGTGATGCGCGTAACTTCCCGATTGGATCATTCTTATAATGTTCTCCCGTGAATTCCTAAAGAATTAGAAAACTCGGGAAATTTCGGGAAAGGAGGAAACTTCAGCAATACCTGAAGAATTCACTGTGCTATTTGGAGAACAAGAATCTGATACAGCTCGATCCATCTGAAGTCGACTATGCGAGCGAGACACGTCAGTGCTCATTTGATGTGAAGATACGCGTTGTATGAGTAAATCATATCTGAAGAACTCTTCCTCGTTTCGAGTGATTTGATTCTACATTAAGTACTAAAGTAATTGAAGTATACTTACTACATACGTTGTTTCAGTGCAGGGCTTATTGCGTGTCAAGCTGCTCTCTCTCTCTCTCTCTCTCTTAAATTCGACAGAAAGGAAGGGGGACAAGACGGCTTAAGCGAGAGGATCCAATGACTGAACACCGGCGTAGTTTGGAGAATAAATTAATATATTTTTAATGGATATATGATAGGTACTGTTTTTCGCATATCCCGGATCATCGTATGGCAACTCTTAATCACCCCTAACCATAAACCGAGCTCATAGATCTATCTTGCTTGCGGGGGTGGGGAGAGCAAATCTTTGTACCGCACTGTACTCACGCTCGCGTAGGATTTTTAAGTGTATATACAACCAGGCAAAATCCTACTCGCAGAGGTCCTCAAAGCTTTCTCACATTCACACCTTCGCGTCTCGACACTGTTCTCTCACTACCGCAAAGAAAAGAAACAGTTCGCTTGGATAACGTCATCCAATTCGGCCAGTCTATCTCCCCTGTAGGAATTTCAATCGCGCTGGCATACAATTTTCGAGTAATTCCCTCGGATTCGCGCGAGTGTCAAGTGTTGAGAACCCCTGCCCTATTGCTTTAAATAATATCCGCGATCGACGAACACTGGAGGGGGGTATCAACTACTCAAATTAAATAAAACGAAACCTCCTGCCCGCTATTTACATTAAATACATACGTATGCACTCGTTCTCTTGCATTTTTTTCTTTCCCTCTCTCTCTCTCTCTCTCTCACTCTCTCGCTCTTACCTCGAAAATGAACGACTCGCCTAGCCGACGAGTGCGCCCGCGTTTATTGCACATTTTTCCATTTTCTTCTTTGAAAGGAGACACAATGGATGAAATCAAACTCATTCGATCTACGACGGCCACGCATGCATTCGATATGTCGAACTGATATATGCCTTCTCGGTCCAAGCTGATGACGTGTGACTTCTGGATTCCCGAATTCGATTGGACTCGAGTTACGGTAGTTGCGATTTATTTCAGCTCCGACTTGCGGATTCTCTCGGATCTCTCTAAAATTCAACCTACCTACGTGTTTCTCCCATCCTTTGGTTCTCTCAAGTCGTCCAAAGACGCCGGGATATCAGAGATCTAGTCGCATCCGCGTCTCGAAGGACACGAGGGTGTCTACAAGTACGCGAGGATATCCGCGACATCCGTTGTCTTCGGCTGGAGTCCCGGTTTTCAGATGAGAATCAGGAGCGGTGTCGGTTCTTCCGTGCACTCGTTTCCCGACCGGGAGAACCAACGAAAGAACCGCCCTCCACCTTTCAGTCTTAGTTCATCTGACGACGTATCACTTCACCGTTCACTGGCATCCCGAAGAGGAGAACCCCGACTAATCGCACTTCACCATCGCCAACCGCGTCCCTTCGAACTGGCTCACTCCGGCGTCTCCCCTTTCGCCTGTTCACTACGTCGTAGACGGCGACGTGCAGACCGACGACATCGGCGACGTCGGCGTCGTAGGCGTCGCCGGCCTGCGTTCCGACGCTCCGCTACTTCGGTTATTCCCCAGCAGACTATCGATGGAGAACGGGTTCAGCCTCTTTCTCTCCTCCCTGCCCTTCACCGAGAGGTCGATGCTACCGCTTTGGACTTCCTCTTCGCTGGTGGCCTGCCTGATCAGATTTCTGCCCCCGTTGCCGGCCTGCTGACGACCCGTGCCGACGGCCACCAGCTCGCGTCGCCGCTCCAGTAAGCTCAAACCCCAATGGTGAATACCGGACTGGTGGTTCAGGTGCTCCATCGTCGGGTTTTGCGTCGGGATCTTTCGGCTCTCGCCGGTCTCGCTGGCGTTACTACTGTTTACCGTCGGGTAGCATTCACCGTCTACCGAGCCGTCGGCCGCGGAATCTACCCGTTCGCTTCCGCTTTCGCTGCAGGAGTCCAGTCCGCCCACCACGTCGATCTCCTCGTTAGCGTCGTTGCCGGAAGCAGAAATGTTGTTGCTCTCGTTGCTTAGGCCTAATTGACCGAAGGAGTTGCTCAGGGGACCGCTCGCGGAACCGCCTCGCCCCGACGCCGCTTCGCTGCGAGACTCCCACTCGGCACGCAGTGTCGACAAGTCCACGGTTATGCCCTGAAATTAGAGGGAAACGAAAGGATACAAGGGGGGAAATATCTAACGACCGCCGATCACTGATCAACGTTGCTAGCATTCGGTCAAGCTAACCAGCGTTCTAATTCAACTCGGCCTAATATAATCTCGCCGAAAATTTTCAGTCAGGATGAAAAATCTCGTCTCTCGATTCGCCACAGGATATGCTCGCTACGAGTAGCGCGTACGTATATTGGCGAAATGTTAATACTTAAAGAGTCTCGTATGTTTTATTCGATCATAGTTGGCTGGAAAGCAGAAAAGATCTTCGGGAACACGTTGGGGCTGGCCAAATTGAATCTGTTTATGTTTCTCACTAGAATCGTACGTTTTGAAACAGTTCTAACCAGAACCTGTGTAGATTTCCCAACCAGGATCCATCATTATTTTGGAAATTCGAACTGGATCCTAATTCTGTCCCAGGAAATCTTCCATGCGGGTTTGCGTAAACAAATATTTCTTCAATATGGAAACGTCTAACGGAGATATTTGCAGATATCTGCAGATAATATTTAACTGTAGATACGAAATATGATGATCAATAGATGTCTATAGATATCTCGGCAGATATAAATATCAGCGTGTATAAGCGCGACTTACTTTAGCGGCGAGCTTCCGTTGCTGTCTCTCGAGAGCTTTGAGCAACTTCTTCTGTCGCCTCTCGCGCTCTTTCCGTCTCAGTTCTTCAGGTGGGATAGGTTCGCCACTGCAACTTTGAGGGTGGGCATTATGCGCCGGCCTCCCGGGACCCTTCTTCGTGTGCTCCTTCTTTCGCCACTTTGCCCTTCGGTTTTGGAACCACACCTGAAACAACGGCACAGCCAAACATTAAAGCAGGAATTGAATAACAGGAACGAGACTCAAATCAATATCATATAATGCCAATCGATTGAATTGCCCCGCGCTGGAAATCAGATCGGCTGATAGCTCGTTTATTAGCAAAACCGGAGTCCGAGTGTACGATATTTCTCATCGGCATCGATTTTTACCGCACAATTCACAGCTCATCCTTCGCTTTAGGAAACCCAAAAAGAAAAGAGGAAAGATTAAGTCAGCGATCAGTCGGTGTTGTCAGGAGAAATTACCTGAGTCGTGTCAAGCCACCATCTCGTCGCGTGAATTTGAAAAATCCCTCCCCCGGGCGGCGCAAAATTGCGAGCGGCTTAAATCACACTACGGCGCTTTCGCGCGCGGTGCTATCGGAAGCGACACGAAGGGCGGATGCATTAAGTTCCGAAATTACAGGAAGATTCCTGTCTCGGGACGAAGGACCAACGACCCTCGCGGGTGTCCTGATTCATCGAGGACGGCAACCCTTTGCTCGCGTGAACGCTCGTGGCATGAACCACGATTTAGGGCTAGCGTGGGCCACGGCGCGACCAAGGGGTAACAGGGGCGCTTGAGGAAGTGGTGCCGGCAGGGGAATGAAAGGGAGGGAGCTGGAAGAGGTGGCTAGAGGGAGAGATGAAGACATTAGTTGTACGGCTCGACCGTCGAGCGGCGCTGAGCTCACGCGAGCCGAAGATCAATAGATCCCCTCGGCTCCCTGAAACACCTTTCTTGCGTCGCGTAGCTTTACGACTTTCTTCGACTTCGGGGCACTTTACGGAGCCCCCGGAATGAGTTCAAAGTGCTAACCATCCTACCGTTACTCGTGAGTCCCCGTTACTCGCGATTAAACTTCACGGGATCATAATTAATTCGATTACTTCGACGGCCCGATTAGAATCCGTCGCGCACTCGCGTTATTTAATTCCCTTACTTTTTGCACCCTCGCTCGCAGAGAGAGAGAGAGAGAGAGAGATCCTCCATATCCGAAACCTTATCCCCAAGGCTCACCGGGGCATCCCGCGGTTCAGAAGCCGGCGCAGCTGTGACACATCGACGGGATGCATGGGAAACGTGAGTCGAACATTAACGCGACTATTCGTCAAGAATTATCGGCGGCCGATAGCGGCCAACGACGCGCCGTTTCGTCTGATTACGCGTGAGAGCCGGTCGTGTCCCCCGATGAACTAAATAACTGTTTTTCCTCTGGTGCCGACAGCCGTACAAGCGCGTCGAGAGAAGGTGCAGGACCGACATTGTAAGCGTACCGAACTAGATTAACATGCATAAAGTCTATCTTTATAGCGGCAAAAACTCGGTGAGGTGACGTCGGGCCGATAACCGTAATCGCCATACGAATGTTGTCGGCGGGGGAGATAATGCACTCTAATGTAATTACATTTCCGCCAATTAATAAACGATGTCTTCTGCTGCGCCGATAAGAGGAGAACGCTCGCTTGTTTGATCGAACCGTTTCATGCCGCAATTAATTTTTTGCCTCGTTATTTTCCTGTGCAGCAGTGTGATCGCTGATATTTCGTCGGCCGTATCTCGCGCAGAGTGTGTGAGAGAGAGAGAGAGAGAGAGAGTGAGAGGAGTCGCTCTCACGTGCTCTCAATTACAGATCATTAATATAATTATAATTGAGTGATGCATTTTGTTCCCTGTTATTCTATTCTAAGAATAACACGAATTTTGCAGTTTGAGTCTCGCCACGAGGCGAATCTGAACAATAGATCGCGGTGCGGCCGCGGAATACTTGCGTCACACTTAATGGATGCGATCGGCCCGACATTTTACAAGTCCGCCGTTTTATCGATCAATAGATATCTTGAGAATGTCGAATGCAAATCGCGCCCCGATAATGGCGATGTCGCGAGAGTGAGAGCTTTTCTCAATCGCGATAAATCAAAATGCGTCGTTCCCGGTCTTATTTATAACCGACTATGACTCGCTGAAATGCCTCGCATGATAATAAGAGCACACGCGCGACGTCAAGGAGCGAAATGAGCGCGTAATTGCACCCCGGCATGTCTGGAAATTTTGATATCGGGATTCGTGAGTCCCCGGTCCCTTCGGATTCCGGACGAGAGATCGGATTCTGCCGAGCAGAGCGGAGAGACAAGCAGCGAGATGGCGGAGACGATAACCCAGCCGAGTGGTGACACAATGTGACACGATGTCACACAGCCGGTGCGTCTTTTCGAAGGGACATCCCCGCGACAGGGAATAGCTCTCAGATTAGATAACATCGATCACCACGTGCGATAACCCTCGTGAGCGTATGGTGTTCCTGCGGGCGTCCTTTTTGAAATATCGCGGCAGCAAGATAAACCGGCGATCGATCGATGTTATCGGCCTCGCGGCCGAATGTAAGACACTCTCGCGAATATAATTAATCCCTACCCTTTAGCGTTCGGCTCGGGCTTTCCGAAGAGGCGGATGTCACTCGAACGAAATATTCGAGGCAAAGGTTCCGTTATGCCTCTCCCCTCTCTCTTCATTTATATTTCATACAATAGTCAACGATCGATATTTTACATTGAGAGCGATTACATTCGTTAAAGTTGTTAATCGATCCTACGCCCGAGCTTGTGGAATATTTCTTACTTAGAGTGTTATTTACGGAAATGTAGCGACACTGCATGACGAGTTGGAGGGAAACAGAGGTGGTGTAATGTGCAAACTTGTTTGTCGCTTTTGTGTCCGGCGACATGCATTTTCGAGATACCAATCCTGATCCCTAAACCGCGCACTTTGAATTTGGCCCGACTCCACGGCATATTATGCGGATTTATTCCGCGACGGCGAGCATCAAAGATCGCCAAGACGATAGGCACGAATTTAAAGTGACTCGGGATTGAGTTTTCGAAGCCGACAGACATCGGGGGTTGGTTCCGGCCTCGGACCTTTGCCCCTTCGCTTCGTCTCGTGGGGGTAGTTAGTCCATCTGCTCCGTTACCTTCGAGATCCGCTCGAGGGTGCAAAATCGACACAGATTTATCCGCTCGGCGACCGTCCGTTTAAATAACACCGATGGCGCGCTATTGTTCCCCGATGACGCTTTTGCGAATAATCAATTCAATATCCCTTTAATAATTATTCTGCGTTTATTTCTTGAGATTTAATAATTTAATAATAACAATTTTTACAGCTTGATGAGGACTCTCTTAAGATTTGATTTCCCGAAGAAAATGTTCGTTGATATCTCGATTCTAGTCCTTTCACCACACATCATTTATCATGAAGATTACGCGATTGATTTTTCAATCGTGTGAAAATTATCCAAAATAATCACAATAATTGGGAGATATTGCTTGCGTCCGGCAGAGAAAGTAGCTCAGCGAGCGCTTAATGATTATTGCTCCTGATTGGTACATTCTCTTGGATCTATCGAGAATCTAAAAGAACACTCCAATCACAGACAATAATTACTAAACGCTCATTGAGCTCCTTTCTCTGCTGAACGCATCCAATGAGTCGGAGTAACGAATTTTTTTATATAGAAACGAAGTCACAATACAATATGGAATATTCAATAGAGCGGAATTTCGTAAAACAGAGCTCCATAAATTAGAGCTTCGAGCAAATCCTTCGGAAGGACCTATTACATGCGAACGTTGGACGTCTATCATTAAGGCTCTATGAAACCGACATTAAATCTGTTCCACGTGGCCAGCCCTCTTCCGGTGTTGCGACAGCTCACGCCCGCGTTCTAGGAACGCAATCCAACTGAATCCTTCGACAGGACCGCGAAGGGCAGACCCTCAATTTCACGGCCGGTCGGACATACGGCCACCCTTAGGTCCTTCAAGCGGATATTTATATTTATCTGCTTAGACACGCGCGTTAGACCCCGCAAACAGCGCATCCGTTCCCTTCTTCTGTATCGGTTCGCCTCCCCCATTTTGTGTCTCATCTACCCCCTTCGCTCTTATCTTCTTTCGCATCGCACTCTCGTTACATCCCGCAAACGGTTCGGCATAATGTTTCACTTCTCGTCCTCTTTATTGCAACATAATGTTGCTACTATTCGGAAAAAATCGCACAACGCCCACGAGAGGTGCCTTCAAAATTATATTCTTGTTCCAGACATTGTAAATTCTTTAGGAATTTTTGAAGTTTTTACGCAATGAACAAAATAATAGAAAGAGAACTCGGTGTTCCGTTTAGCAGCTATTGGATAGATAATATTTGTCTCTCATTGTTCCTTTTTAGTATATTAAATACCTCGGTAATTCAAATAATCACCACGACTTCGAATGTGTTGAAGTATAATGAATGACCGGAGAAATGAGGTTTGATTTTTAATTTACGTCCTGTATTCCTACTCGTTCGCGACTACACGACTTCGTAGGCTCAAAGGCTATTCACGTCATCCTTCTTATTTTGACTTCTGTTATCTGCTATTCACACAGTGAATGTATACGGTTTCGGGCACGTTTAGCGTGAGTGTATTATATCGTGGAAGTAAATGACAATAGAAGAAGTAACTCACCGCCACGCGGCTCTCTTTTAATTCGAGTCTCACAGCCAGAGCTTCTCGCATAAAGACGTCGGGATAATGACTCGACAGGAAGGCCCGCTCCAATTCTTCCAACTGCCAACTGTTGAAGTTGGTTCTGCTCCTTCGCCTCTTGTTGCCACCCTCGTCCGATTCTCCGTCGCAACCTGAAGTAAAAGAAGACATACGTCAGAAAAAAGAAACAGAGATCGGCACTGAACGCAAAATTTGTTGCATGAAATTAAATACCTAAAATCCCGAAGTTCGCTTCGGTGCCTACATGAAGACTTCACGACGACATGAAGTTCTTTTGTTAAATATAAATATAGAAGGAAAAATAACGCTGTGAAATAATTAGAAGGGAATCTCAAAATAAAGGAAGTACTTTGAAAACGAGAATAATTTAGATAAAATGAGGACAAAAGTAAAAGCTCAGATCTTAAGAAACAGCAAACATGTCGTAGATTCGAAATTAGTGAAGCACAAAATTTTTCAGAGCTCACGGAGTTTCGGCAATTGAATTTTTAAACTTCTCTTTCAAGAATCAAAATTCTAAAAAAAAAATACTGAAAACCAGACAGCGAAGATTGAGAAATTTAATACCGTAAGACTTCGCTAACGTGAAGATCAAGACATCGACTCGAGAGCTTCAGAGATCATAGGTTCGGTGTTTCCAGGATCGAGGATCTTGAGTTCCAGCACACCCAATAACGGAAGAGTCAAGTATTCGAGTAAATGGTAACGGCGACATAGCGACGAACACCCGCAATTACTTAATTGGCGCTCGCTATTGTTGCTGCGCGGCGGGTTCGCACATAAGTGCATGTCTCGCAACGAAAACAAATACAATAGTTACGTTAACCGCGCAGCAATAACGCGGGCCCGTTGTTGTAACGGCCGACGCGCGCGGTCCGATAATGAAGTTAACCATGTAGTAAAGTGTGCATTCCTCTTCAATCTTTTCCTCCGATCGAGCAGCTGCACTGGCGTTCGCTTTCATGCTCGCCACTTTGCCGATGTAAATCGATGAGTTCGCGCGCGCGCTCGCTCGCGCTTTACAAGTCGATCGCTCCTTTTATTCGTTGTAGTGTCAAGCCGAGCGTGACGCGACTAACGGAGAGATTATGGCAGCAATAATCATTGTTAGACATAATCTGACAACATAATTTCCAACTCGAGTTGGATCCAACCTGCCCTAACTTGAAATTCCACAGCCATTCTAGGAAAATTAATTTTGCCCCGGGACCGACTCAAACAATTAGATTCCCCAAAATTAATCGTGTACATAGTAAAAAAACATTTTGTGCTTGTGCTAAAATTGTTAAAATTTTTGTGTCAAATTTTTAACATATCCATGTGTTAATTCAATATATTGTGTTTACGTCATCTTAATATGCGTTTATTTTATGTATTGATTCGATATTTAATACATATAAGCGTTAAAATAATATGTTTTATACTTTTTTTTAAAATGTCGATTAACATATTATACATTATATATATTATTAGGTATTATATATATATATATATTAATTTTGTATTAATTTTCAACATTTGCGTTAAGTTAATGCAAAAATTTGTGTGGACCATTCAGGACATGTGAAATGTATTAAATTTCACACACAACTATTTACCGAGTAGATTTTACTCTAGATTTTGATCTCTCAATTATTTTAATTCCTTCACGAGGTTCAATTTGTAACTCTCTCGGTACTTCTGACTCCTTTAACATTCTAAGGATGCCGATTCTCAGCGCTTATTCCGTACATTTCTCAAAATAACTTAATCATTATTTATTGCCATTAATTATTGAAAAAAGTTACTATCGTGTGACCGACAATCTCCTCTTTTTTTTTTACGTTTGCCGATCGGTCGGAGAATTGTTGCATCCGGGGCGACGAAACGTTATAATTTACGGCGGCCTATCTCGCGCGTGATCGATATCGATATCGAATTAAGTACTGTATACTTTCGACGGGAATTATTATGTTCGTGCGGCACGAAAATGGAGGCCGGCGTCGATGGCGGACGATCGCGAATTTATCTTAATTTTGCGCCATTTGTAACCGTGGCGCAAGGTAAACATTTCATCGAGCCTCGAGTGAATTGAACCTTTATAAAGTGGCTTTAAACACGTAATCTAATAGGGAGGAGAAATTGTGTTGACATCAAAATAGATTATTCGTGCTTGCAACAACGACTGACAAAACCATGCGAATTTCGAGCCGTGCGGAAATTCAAAGCGACGCGACAAGATCAATGAGGGGAGGCGTGAAGTTTTTCATCCGAGCGTTTAAACTGCCCTGTGATATTTTGCGTTGCATTATCCGGCACGCGGTAGAGGGAAGAATTTTGAACGGTGCCGCCAATATTGCGCAAGATCCCCTCGGTATTGATTAAAATGGCGTCGGCTCGAGCCGACGTCCGAAGAGCAATAACCGCGCGTGATTCGTGGCGAAAACCTCGTACCGAAAATCGCTGCCCATCTTATCTGAGCGAGCGAACGCGCGAGATAAGGCGCGCAACGAGCCGGCGGGGCCTCCCGATATATTGAATAAACATGGAATTTCAGTGATTTTACGAGGACAATCCGCTATCCCCGACGATATCTCCGACGGGGATCGGTGGATCCGCGATCGCTTCGCCGTGCGCGCATATGCATGCTAATGGCTGGAATTGAATAAAAGATCGGGAATTATGATTGACCGGGTAATACTGGAACCCCCGGGTTATCTCGATCGCGCGAGACAAGCTCAGATGGAAGTCTTCGACCGCGACTTCGCTTCGTTCAGAGATTCCCGGACTACAACATATTCCGATATTGATTACGCTTACATCAATGATATACATTTCTTTGTATTATTTCAGAATGTATATATAAATATACATAAAAATCAACGTCACATTATTAAAAATTAAGATGTGACCGGCCTTCACGCAAAACTCAAGCCGGTGACTCTTTTAGCACAAAACGTTGAGTCATACTGATAAAACATTTACACTCAATGATCTGTCGATAATTTTTCTCATGAATATTCTATATTTTATCATGTATTTTTAATCTTCAATCTTTCTATTTTAATTCCATTTCATTGTCAGAATTATTTATCCTGGAGATGATGCTCCCTAAAACGCAAGAATTTGAGATAGATCGTCCTCCTTGGATTGGATTTGTGAGCTTGCAAGAATGTAAAAGTCAATTATTGAGTTAAATATGAAATAACACCGTGTTACACGTCATATTTAATGCTGTGAGTGTGCGATCAGGATGTAAATACAAAATTAAGATGAATGTTTGAAATTACAAATTAAAGGCGGAAATTTAACGGCCCGATGAGTCGACGAGGTTATGAGTTTGTAAAAATTGCATCGATAAAACGATTCATTATGAATTACCGGTAGATTGCTTCTCTCTGAAAATCATGTTCTCGCTGGGCGAAAAACACGCGTCACGTGTCACACTCTGTCGAGTTGAAAATATCGTGAAAGGAGACGCCGAAGATCAAGGAAGGGAAAGGTCAATCGCGATTTAGCACCGTGGATTATTTCGATCGGCTTGCAAAGCGCTAGCCAATTAAGATTTACCGATGGCAGGTAGACACTGTTTGCGGATCGGCGCAAGATCGTCGTTGAAATGGCCAAGGGCGGTGAAAAATCGCGGGGTTGGTTATTAATCAGCGTAATTAGATGCTATTTATCCGCGGGCCGTCTCTCTCGTTCGCTGCGCGTCTCGCTCATTATTGATAATCTATAATCCGTAATAAGCGGCTCTCTTGCCGTAATGGCAGGTTGAAGGATTGTCGCGAGCGATAATACCTTTATCGTATCAATGCCGGCCGGCGCTCGCTTACGCCAAATTTCATAATCGAATAAGCGGTAATTAATAATTCTGAGCATACGCGATGAAAGTGTCGCGGGCGAATTTTGCAATTAAAGTACTAATGCACTGAACATTGATATATCGCGAGATTAAAGTGAATTATACTGAATAATAAAGCGGACTGTTAGGAACATTTTCCGTCTGCAGAGTTTGATGTCGCTGATTACACTCAAACTCAGCTATTTACACTGATACGCTCACTTGCGCTGCATTAATGAATTTATTTATAAGCTTATCGATCAATTTGTTAACTTGTATCCCATTTCATGATTTATTCGCCACGACCATCTGAAGGCAGATTTTTGTTACTTCTGATGAAACCGTAAAATAGCATTTCTAGTTAGACAGAGTTATTTTATAGCGTCGCCCGTTAAAACGTTTGTAAAAGAAGAGAAGAAGAAACGAAACCCGATCGCGCAGGGAGGTGCCAGGTTGCGGAGTTGAAGCGTCGTGTCGCGGCCGTATCACGAAATTAGCCGACTCATTATAATCATGTCAGGTTCATTATGCAGCGAGTGCGTTACGCCAGGAGACAGCCGCTTCCCTCGTTAGAAGGAAACGCGAATCCGCTGCGAGGCGAATGCAACGAAAATAGATTAAGACGACGGATCCGCGATCAAACCGGACGTGAAAATTGTTTAACTCGTTCCCTCATAAATTATTTAGCCCGCCGCTCGCTATCATCTATCAAGTTTGATAGGTGCGCCTGATAATAACCCCCCCGCGCCTACCTGGCCGAGACTGCGCTCCGCTTCGAGAGTGTGTGTGCGTAACCACGTAAACATATCTCAACCGAATCGTGTGAATACTACGAGCAAAAGAAACCGCGTTGGTTACTCACAGATCTCGCCGAGGTCGATTCGCAACATTCGCTTTGTGCGACGGTGAAAAACCAAATAACGCGAAGGTCACGATTGAATAATCACGAAAGGTTCAACTTACGTTTATATTAAATGGATAATATGTTGCCATTCCGGAAAACCCGTAATGGCAAATCCTCAGCCTTTTGTGTGTGGATCATTTTTCCGACTTCCAATCTCTTTTCCTCAACCTTCCCGGTAATTCCGAACAGCCTTGAAAGGTGATAATTGTATTATTCTTATTAATTCATTTAAATGCCGAAAATTCTCTCTTCTCGTGTTTTGACGTTTCCATGGAAATGCAAATTTTTAATATCCTTTGCCGGTTGAGCTGCTTTAATATTAATAATATTATTAATAGTAATGAAAAGATCTCACTTTGTCCGTCCACGAAACTTTCTGTTTTTGCAAAAAGATTTATCGATGT